AGCTGACAAATGGTGTGAAATGAGAATAGAGAAATGGCCCTTTAGTGTTTCAAGAAGGATGCTCTTGATGGCCTTGGTGAGGTAAGCATTGGTGGAATGGAAGTGTTGGAAGTTAAACTGGGGAGGATGGTAGAGTGAACCAGAGGGAAAGTCTAAGCAGTGGGAGAAGACAATCTGCCCAAACATCTTGGAGAATAAGATAATGAGAAAGATATGACAACACAGGAGTGCGTTGTTAGGAGATGAGAATGAGCCAGACGAAAATGAGCAGATAAAAATAATTTGGGAAGGAGTGGGTGAGAGGCAGAATGTATTATGACAATAGACAGGAAGGCAGAAGGTCAAAGAACTAGAAAGATGGTAGGAGTGAAATGTTGGCACCACAGCAGTTGGTAGATAGTGAGCTCAGAAAGAGAATAGGAAGAGGAGGAGGCTGACATGGCAAAAGTGAAGGGCAAAAGCACTTCCTAGATATTATCATTTTTTTTTGGGTGGGGAGCAAGATCGCAGGCAGAAGGAGGGTGAGAAGGAAGACAGGACTGTGGAGATCCAGGAGTCAGGAAGGCAAGTTAGAGATCTTTATTAATAAAAAAAAAAAAAAAAAAGAGGAAAAGAGAATGAAGTCAAAGGAAAAAGATGAGACAGTTACTGGATTTATGAATAGCCCACCCAATGTTTGTTAGTATAAAGCAGATGATAACATCATGTACTTGAAGTAAAAGATTGATTTTCACCAATATCTAGAGGTGAATGTTGCATGCAGGATTCACCTGGCAAACATCAGGAGGTCTGGACATGTTAAATGTCTGTGTGCTTGTATAGAAAAATTATATATTTTTATTTTCATACAAGATGCAACCTTTTTCACCCTGTTCCTGGTTTTCATTTTGTTCGATGGTTTTTAATATTTCAGGTTCGTGGGAGTAAAGGTGAAGTCCTTTATGTTTTGGATGCCAGCAATCCACGACATTCTAATTGGCTACGTTTTGTCCATGATGCACCATCACAAGAACAAAAGAACCTGGCTGCCATCCAGGTACGTTTGTTGAGCCTTACCATTCATCTTCTGTTATTAGTTTAGTTAAGGTCTGCTCTTTTTTCTAGCCTTTATCTCTGGCAAAATTTGCAGATTACATGAAATACAGCAGCTTCAGTTTTCCCACCACCCTTTTAGAAGCAAGCTTTTGTCCTCAAAGATGTACTGTAAATAAATATCTACAATGATAACCGGACTAAGGACTGAGAGCATTTTTAGAAACAATTGAATGTTCTTTGAAAGGTTTTTAATTAAATAGCTCTGACTGAATTATATAAACTATGTTGGTTTGATCTATAGAATTTGAAATCCTGCTCATTTAAATGTATTTTAATTTATATTTGCAGAAGTATTCATATAATATTGCTACAGTTATTTTTTTTTCATGATAACCATATTCATCTAGGCTTCACTTCATTGATACCATTCCCATAATTGAAGACAGACATGGATTAGGGTTGAGATGGATCAGGGTAATTATCTTACAGGCTTATCCAGGTTCTCAGTAGAATTACTGAGCATATGGATGAGCAAAGAAAGCAGAATCAAGCCTTTATTTTTAAATTATTTTAAAAGTAAATAGTCAAAACACATGCAAAATATTCCACTGGAAGTCTAGCTCAGTGGGTCTGCTAGACCTCCAGAATGTTTAAGCAGAAATCAAGTGAAAGATCATAATGTTTTAATTTTCTTCATTAGTCTTGGGTACAGAAATGAGTTGCATACTTATTTGTTGCAGATAATAAAGATAAGGAATTTTCAAAGATTGAAAAATGAAAGGCCAGTTGCTGAAAAAAACTATTTAATTAGATTGTATTACATTTAACTGCATAGCCTTGTGACTGAAAAAATGTTATGTACTTATGCAAAGTATGAACTTACTAAAACTTAATGTAATTAGTCCTGATTGAGTACACAGCACTGTCAGTGCCATGGTTATTAGCAGCCCAAAAATGATTGGATCCCAACATGTTCAAGACTTCTAATGTCAGAAATGCTATTAGAAACCTTGAAAATAATGGGGATTAGGTACTGTTGGGATTAATATCTTGCCTTATTTTCAAGACTTCTAATAGTAGCCTTGAAATTGTTAACTCCTCTCAATTTCAAGACTTTTAGTAACAGCACTTCTCCATATTTGACAACAAAGGTTATGCAATCAAACAGAATACTGCAATTACATTAGAAAGCAAACAGTAAAGCTAAAATGTACTATGCACTTAGGTGGCTAATACACTTTATATGCATTTAACCAATGTTTGTTTTTAATGTAAAGACTGCACAAAAAAATTGGGACTGGCATTATGTATGCAGTTTGGTGAATTAACGTCCATTCAATATACATTCAAATGGAGATGAATGTAGTCTCCAGTCCTGTAATATCCATGTTGACTGCAGGGTACTCTTGGAGGCTATTGGCTTGAATGCAACTCCATGTGGGTGCAGCAGACCACCCATGTACTAGATGTTGTGGAACAGAGAAAAAAATCCCCAGCTTTAAATAGCTTTATACAGGCCTGTTGAAGTACTCAATGGCTTTTTTACTTCAGTTTTTACAGGCAAGGTCAGCTACCAGACTACTGTACTGGGCAGCAGCTGGGGGAGGAGGCAAGCAGCAGATAGTGGCAAAAAAACAAGTTAAGGTCTATTTAGAAAAGCTGGACATGTACAAGTCCACGGGGTCAGATGTAATACACCTAAGGGTGCTCAGGAAGTTGGCTGATGTGATCTCAGAGCTGCTGGCCACTACCTTTGGAAACTTGTGGCAGTCAGAAGAGGCCCTGGATGATTGGAAAGAGCAAATATGGTGCCCATCTTTTAAGAAAGGGAAGGAGGAGGATCTGGGGAGCTACCAACCACCCAGCCTCACTTCAGTCCCTGGAAAAATCAAGGAGCAGGTCCTCAAGGAATCTGTTTCTAAACACTTGGAGGAGAAGGTGATTATGAATGGTCAGCATGGATTCATGAAAGGAAAGTCATGCCTGACCAACCTGACTGCCTTATTTGAAAAGATGACTAGCTTTGTGGATGTGGGCAGAGCAGTGGATGTGATGTACCTTGACTTTAGCAAGGCTTTTGATATGGTTTCCCACAACCTTCTTGCAAGCAAGCTAAGTAAGTCCAGGTTGGACAAATGGCCTGTAAAGTGGCAGAAAACTGGCTGGATCATCAACCTCAAAGAGTAGTAATCGATGGCTTGGCAGTTATTATCAAGTGGAATGCCCCAGGGGTTGGTCTGAGGCCAGTTGTATTCAATACTTTCATCAGCTATCTGGTAGATGGGGTGGAGTGCACCTGTAGCAAGTTTGCAGATGACACCAACCTGGGGGGAGTAGTACATACACTGGAGGCGAAGGCTAGGATTCAGAGACACCTAGACAAGTTGGAGGATTGGACCAAAATAAATCTCATGAGGTTCAATAAGGAGAAATGCAAAGCCCTGCATTTAGGACAGAACAATCCTACATACTAGTACAGGCTGGGGGCTGACTGGTTAAGCAGAAGGTCTGCAGCAAAGGACCAGGGGGTTACAGTGGACAGTAAGCTGAGTCAACAGTGTGCCCTTGTTATGAAGAAGGCTAACAGCTTCAAAGGAGTGTTGCCAGCAGATTGAGGGACATGATTTTTCCCCTTTATTTGGCACTGGTGAGGCCCCATCTGGAGTACTGTGTCCAGTTTTGGGCCCCCCACTGCAGAAAGGATATGGACAAATTGGAGAGAGTCCAGTGGAATGCAACAAAAATGGTTAGAGGGCTGAGGCATATGACTGAGGAGAGGCTGTAGGAACTGGGCTTATTTAGTCTGGAGAATTGAAGACTGAGGGGGGCTTGATAGCAACCTTCAGCTGCCTGAAGAGGGGTTCAAAAGAGGATGGAGCTAGACTGTTCTCAGTGGTGGCAGATGAGAGAACAAGGAGCAATGGTCTTAAGTTGCAGCAAGGGAAGTTTAGGTTAGATACTAGGAAAAACTTTCTTACTAGTAAGACAGTAAAGCACTGGAACAGGCTAATTAGAGAGGTTGTGGAATCTCCATCCTTGGAGGGTTTTAAGATCCAGGCAGACAGAGCATGGTTTTGATGATCTAGTTGGGGATGGTCCAGTTTTGAGCAGGGGGTTGGACTAGATGACATCCTGAGGTCCCTTCCAACCCTATTTTTTTTAAGATTCCCACGAACCTATTTTTTACGATTCTAAGAAAAATATGCATTCTCTCATTAAACTATAATACGGAAAATATGTGAGTAGTACAGATGGATTCTTCATGTGGGTAATTTATTTTCTATAAAATGTATTTTCAAATTGTCTGAGTTTATTTGTAGATTTCTGCCAACTATTTTCAAATTTCAATTGTGAAACCTTTAATTTTGTTTCTTAAAATTTACCTGTTCATTTTGAAGTGGCAACTTTTAAAACAAAAAAATAATAACCATAAAGGAATTGAACAGTCCTCCAGATGATCAAAACTTTTTTTTATTGGCAAGGATTTTTTTTTCAGATCAAGTTAAACAAACATGTCTTTCAATATACTGGTTTGCATACTGAACCAAAATATTTAATCATTTGCACAGCTTGATTTTCTAAAATTCCTTTCTATGTCCACAGAAGGGACTTACTCCTCTATAATCTTACATTCTTGGTGACTCCAATGTCCATGTTGATGACATATCCATTCCCTTCGCTGTACTTTTCCTTGCCTTTTCCTTTTTATTCAACCTAGTTCATCTCTCCCACTCCCAACGGGCTATTCACTCAGCTAGAACTTCATCAAGAACTACTCTCTGTGTGATCTCTGTGTTGCTGAATTCCACATCTCTGACATCACTTGGTATTGTTTAGTATCATCTATCAACGTCTCCCATCATGTCCTCAAGTTAGCCTTTCTGTGACATTTGTTGCTCTCATCTCTCTCCTGCCTTACCTTTTCTTCCATTGTTATAGTAGTCATTTTTTTCCATTCCTTGTTCTCCACCATCCTTGACTCTCTTCTTCTGTCTCTTACCACAATGTCTGTTTTGTCATTTCTTAGCTCTGGATGAGCCCCAGAATCCTTCTGTGCCAGAAAGCATCTCTGGGATGAAATTCTAAGACCATGTAAGCTTTTTGCATGGAAATGTTGTTTCCTGCCTCCTTCAATTCTGGCTTCTTTCTAGCTAAACAGCAAAGCTTCTCCAATTATTATCTCCAATTACCCAAAATATTACCCAGCTGTTCTCCATCTCACTCATCAGATCATTTCCTCCTCCTACCTACACTTCTTCCTACACACAGAATTTGACTAATTTCTTCCAAAAGAAAATTGATAAAATACCCCGACTTTCCTGCTCTCCTCAGCTTGCCTTCATTTCCTACAGATGCAGAGGTTTATTGCTTGCATTCTTGCTCTAACTGCTTCACTTGTGCTAGAAATCCCATCCTGTCTCTTTGCCTAATATCCCTTGCATTTGCTCTTTTCTTCTTGAATCTTCTGCTCCTAAAATTACCAGCATGTCAAAAACCTTCCTTGACTATGGGTGTCTTTTCAATTGCTTTCCATCCTTTCATCTCTAACTTTACTGACTGTATAGTGTTGCTGCCTGGAATTCATATCCTGAAAAGCCATTCAATCTTGCTTGCACTTCTTGAATTCAACTGTAACCAAACTCTTGCTGAAGTATCTCCATCTGCTTCATCTGTCAGCTAGCTTTGACACAGTCTGTGATGCTCCTTCTTCAAATATTGTCTTTTGCTTCCATAGACCATGAGTAGACCTTGAACAGTATTTTGGTTTTCATCACTCAAAAAGCAAAATGAAGACTGCAGTAGAATTAAAGGGCCTGACAGATGTGACCAGAGTGATTAGAATCATGGAAAAGTTTCCATATTGGGAAAGAGAGAAAATATTAGAAAGGAAGGGATAGATATGATTGGTGTATGAAATAATGAAAAGAACAGAGAAGATAAATTTGGTGTTTGTATTTACCAAATTACCTAGATTTTATTCAGCACATCAGTAAACATGCA